ATAAATGATATGACCTGATTAGCTTTTTAATATAAGATATATTCATGTTATTTTACAAATAATATAAGAATAACTTAAAGTAAAATGGGAAGTTATAGATGCAACTCTGTGAAGAAAACCATCAGTTGCAATAAAAAAAGTTAATAATAATAATAATAATAATAAACTCTAGGAAAAGTAGAAAAGAGACATTGAGGCACTTAATAAACATTTGAAGAAATAGAATAATATTTTAAAACTTAAAAAATAATACTATGCATTTTTTAAAAAATAAATATTAACAATATGAAAATGAAGATAATTCCAGGAACATAGAGAGAGAATGAGAGAACAGGAAATAGCCATAAGAAACTGGGCAGAATAAAAATTATGTCATAATCAGGGTTGAGACAAATTACTCTCAGAACAGTTTGTAAATTACACTGAAATACAGTTACTTGAAATGTGTAATATTTCAATAGTTGGTTCCTAATATCAATCAGCAACAATTTTAGCCTCCTAAAACTAATAGTCTATAAGTATCTATATAAAACCAAACTCACTGCCGTGGAGTCGATTCTGACACATCGTGATCCCCATTGTGTTTCTAAGGTGTAAATCTTTGTGGAATCAGACTACTTTTTCTTCCACAGAGCAGCTGAGCTAGTGGGTTTAACCACCGACCTTTTGGTTAGTAGAAAATCCCTTAACCACTGCACAATCATATCACATTTAAGTGTGTATAGAAGGAGTTTTTATAAGGGTTTGATTGCTGTAGATAGGAACTTAGTCACAGGGTGACATTAAAATGAAGACCCTGAAAAGTAAGTAACAGGGATGATTTAGCATGTGTGGAATCTGAGGGAAGAGTATTAAAATAAAAAGGGGGGATCTATACTGTACTATATTACCTGTAACCAAATCTTATGGGAGATAAATTGATGAGGGATTGGAAATACAGTGTGTGATTTCAATCTTTCAATTTCACAGAGCTACTTTTATTCCCTTGCCTACACACTTGATGTTTCCTCAGTCTTTAACATCTTCTTTGTCAACCTCATCTGGCTAACTCTTATTCAACCATCAAAACCAACCCAAAATGACACCTCGTACAGAGTATTCTATTACACAATTATCTCTCTTTATTCCACCTCTTGTAAACAATGCCCAAACCTAGGCCCTCCATCCTCTCACCCCAGTTAGGGTTTCTTATCTTCCTTTGGCAGAATCCCTGGTTGCACAGTGGTTAAAGCCCTTGGCTGCTTTTGGTCAGGAGTTTGACCGAAGTTATGGCAATCAGCTTCTGTAAAGATGCACAGCCTTGGAAACTATGGAGCAGCTCTACTCTGTCCTATAGGGTTTCTACGATTCAGAATCCACTGGATGGCAGCGAGTTTGGTTTTGGGTTTGGGTTTGATTTTGTCTTCCCTTGGTGATTCTATAGTTTTTTTTTTTTTTTTTTTAAATCTTGGTCACAATATTTTAAAGGATCAAGTATAATATATTATTACAATGCAATACTAATTCATGTTGCTTTCTCCCACAAAGTGGGCTGCTTTTGGAAAGTTGTTGTCATAGTGCCTGCTACTTGTTGTTGATCAAAAAGCTCCCTGGTCTTGCGACATCCCCATGATTCATTATGGATCAGACCAGTGTGATCCTTAGCATTTTCACTGACTGGTTTTCAGAACTAGTTTACCAGGTCTTTCTTTCTAGTCAGTCTTGATCTGGAACCTCTTCTGATATCTGTTCAGCACCATAGCAACATGCAACCTCTACAGACAGATGGGTGGTGGCTGTTAGTGAGATGGATTGAGGAGGAATTGAACCCAGACCTCCTGTACCGTAGGTGAAAATTCTACTACCCATCCACCAACTATCTTTTCTGGTACTTAGAAGTCATTCTGAAAATAAAATGAAAAGATCACTGAATAAATGAATGAATGAAAAGAAAACTATCCGGTACATTTCCATTAAGTCTGTAGATTATTGTTGGCCTGTGAAAACGGCACAGTAGGCAAAAGCAGATGTAAATGATTTGAGAAGACAGGGCATTAAGACAAAAGTACTTAATGTTCTGTTGTGTGAACTCAAGAACCTCCAACGTCTATAATCCCATTGTACATCTGGTCTATATCTGGTCTGTGTGAATTTTATAGTTTTTGAAGTCTGAAATCACTTTAATTTAGCTCAAAAAACTTTTGGCATTGTTTGAAGGAACATTTCTATAATCATTTTTCTATCTATTGCATACCTGGTAACAAAGTTTATGAGAAACTTGGCTTTATCAGTTAAGATGTCAAAACAAATAAGAGTGCTCTGTCAAATCATTTTATTATTTTTGTGGGTTTGTATCCCATTCAGTTACTTTGCTTTCTCTGAGATTTTTTTTTTTTCTTTATGTCTCCTTATAATTTTAAGCTAAACGCTTTTTTTTTTTTTTTTCGCAATTACCTTATGCCCTTTACATGACTTTTAAGGTTAAGAAATGGGTAAAGAACACATTTGTTAACTAAAAACAGGATACTGTTTGGCAGAATATAAAAGGCCCGGGCAAGTTGGGGATTGTGTGGGGGAGCAGGGAGGAAGCCAAGCTGGAAAGAAAGAGAAGTGGCAAAGGCTACAGAACAGTCCAGAATAAAACAAATAGAAATGAGTCAACCCAGACTTTGGCACAGGGCCTAGCAAAGAAAGGCCCCAAAAGAAGAATTTTTACTGATCTGCCCTTGAACTTTTTTTGGGAACTTACTTCAGCTAAGAAGAATTTTACTTTTCATTTTACTATTCAACAATTAAATAAGGTAGTTTTAGTTCAAAATGCTATACATGCAAAGGAATTGCATAGGCTTTACCAGAATATGCCTAAACTTAAAATAGGCAGGGCTTCCCTTGGCCTGCTTTTCCCTATTGGGTCATTTCTGTAAGCATTTTCTTGACCCCTTCTTATGGGCTCACTGTGCACTTCATTCAGATCTTACCTGATAACACCTTATCTTCCAGAATCACTTTCCTCATCATCCATTGTTACTTTTCTTTCCACTGAAATTATTGCAGGAATGTTATCAGATTATAGTAATTTGAAGTAAATCATAGTGAATAATACCCAATTTAGTCATCCTAAAGTATTTTTTCGGAGGTATGGTGGCGTAGTGCCTAAGGCATTTGATTGCTAACCAGCAGGGTGGCAGTTCATACCCACCAGACACTACTTGGAAGAAAGGTTGGACAATCTACTTCCATAGTGATACTGCCTCGGAAACCCAAGGAGGGGTCACTATGAGTCGGAACTGACTTGAGGGCAGTGAATTTGTATTTGCTATTCCATGAAGTTTCAGATTGTTTGAATGTATGATAATAAAATGTAATGTATTTTAAAAAGAAGAGAGAAGATATTGATTACAATTCAGCCACTGGAGCATTTTCAATCAAACTGTACAGGTAGACACCTACTAACTTTGAAAATGTTTGTTTTGCGGGGAGGGTGGTCAGGGAGTGGGCTCTTTGCATTGCAATTCAAACAGAGTTGGAGATTATGAAGCACTATCACAATATTTCTGTATTAGACAAAACTAAGTAACATTCACAGATAGCCTTATAAAGAGTATTTTTATTAATTTATATTTAATTCTTATAATATTTATAACTTCAATTCATTTTTCATATGAATGAACTCTTAACTTTGAAGCCATAGCTTACCTGAAACAATATAATATTTCAAAATGATGAATTATCTTTCTGATTTGAATGGAATTTTTCTAACTTTGACATATAATGTATTTAAGGGTCTGAAATCACATTTTTTTGCCCTTTAAACCTCCAGGATTAGAAAATATATTGTGCTCTAAAACAACAGAGTCATTGTGTACTTGGACATGTTTAAGCAGAGTTTTAATTTATTCTTTTTTAATCATCCTGGAATTTCTGGGATGTGGTCTAATTTCAAAGCATATACAATTTTTAGACACTAAGTCTAAAAGTTCAACTTGGAGAGATTGGTGGTGATACATTCCCCAAAGCAGAAACTATATGGTGCTATTAAGAAACTGTTATTTTAAACTCTGTCCTGCAAATTGGAACAATGTTGCCCGTAGTGATTCTACTTACCCTGAACTATGATAGCAAATGTTCTCTAAGAGAAAAATTTTTAATCTATTACTAAATAGTAACAATTTAAATTAAATTTTGATTCCAGAAATTACCTTAATCCTATGAGAAAAAAGAAACTTGCACACTCATACTCATTACTCCAGAAGATAATTTTCTAGAATATGTCACACACAATCCCCTAAAAAAAGCTTCTGAACAATTCAAATTTTGTATCCAATTGCTTTTCAGGTTTGCATTAGTATTTTCATTCTAAAGGGGCAAGCAATGCTTGTTTACAAGACTTTAATGACTGCAGCAGTATCAGTTGTAAATGGCAAATGAATTGATCTTTAGGCAGAGTTAACATCTCCATCTGAGGAAAAAAATCCAGTCATACATGATATATAAGCTTTTTTGAACAGTTTATGTTCTGGTACTATCTATCTACCTGTCTGCTTATCTATCTATCTGTACTTTTTAATAGTTCTACATACAGTATTTTGTTGAACATTGTAAGCAAAAAAGTAAACTATGTTTTATAATAATTAGCAACAGCATTTTCAAAAATATTCATTCGTGGTTACACAACTCAAAGAATGTAATCAATGCCACTGAATGGTACCTGTAGAAACTGCTGAATTGGTGGTATCTGTTATACTGTGCATATTCTCAGCAAGAACAAAATACATGAAATTATATAAAATAATAAATGTTCATCAAAGATTTTCTTAAATTTTACATGAAATATATTTTTGATTATGTAAACAAACATGCCTTAAAATGAACTAGTTATATTACTTAAACTTAATTTCAAAAGCCACTCACATTAAGCTATAGTATAATAAATAAAGCACATATTCTAGACCAAATTTTTATTATCACCATGAAAATCCATTCATAATAGAGTGAAAGAAAAATGTCTCTTTCAGACTTACCTTGTGCTACACAAACAGCCCATAACATAAGCCAAACAATCTTCACTGGCAATCTCATTTTGGGACCTTTTAGTGGAACATTTAATACCCGGCACTGCTCACACTATGTTAGGTTCTCCTCTGCTGAATATTGTGATTAATGCAGAAAAGTACTTCTTCTAAAAACAAGTTGAAACACAGCTTAAAAATTAAAGAGATTACTAGATGCTCCGCCCCTCAGAAACTTTTGCAAAATGAAAGAACAAAATCAACCACAAGCCCCAGGAGTGCCAGAATATGAATGATTCTTATTTCTCTACTACTGAATATGAACACCATGACCTGCTTTTCGGTTCGTTATTATAAATCCAGGCCTATTCTCCAACTGAACATGTTCAGGATCTTGGAATGCAGAAAGCAGTAGCTGGTGATATTATAAATCTTCCAGTTATTCAAACACCATTAAAAGCTGTTGTGTGTAAAGCTCAGACCAAAAACGCTTTTGAAAATCATTTACAGAACTTCATGTTAGGCAATGCTTTATAGTCAAGACCCAGACAACTTGAGTAAGCTTTGCCAAGAATGCAGTGCTGGCTGATCTTTTGGGGCCTGTTTTTTCCACGATTCATGAAAGCAAGACTCCTAAAGACTTTTAATGTGTGTGTGTGAAGAAGTTGGCTCACTCTCACTTAGCATAAATGAGTTAGAGAACTCAAAAAACAGGCAAACTCATTTTTGGAAATTGTTTATTGAAATATAATAAATAGAAAGAAGTTAACACATTGTAAGCATATGATTTGCTGAGTGCAGAGAAAATGAATAGCAACCAGGGCAACTAGTACCTAGGTACAAAAACTGAACATTACTACTTCCCAAAAAACCGATGGTACTCTCTTTGGTTAAACCCACTCCCCACCCCCAGCACACAAGGAGGACCACTATTCTGATCTCTCAGAGCATGAAATAGATTTACCAGTTTTGTATTTTAAATAAATGTTATAATGGTTGTAGATTGTTATTTCTTATTGCTGTCTAATGTCTTATTATTTGAATACATAACATTTTTCTTATTCACGTGCCTGTTAATGGACATTTGAGTGGATTCCAGTTTGTAAATAACACAAATAGTGCTGCTAAGAATATCATCTTGGTAAACACATATGTACACTTATGGTGATGACATATGTAAGAGTGGAATATTGGGACATAAGTATGCCCCATAAAGATGACTATATTTAGGTAGATTGTTGTTGCTATGCGCTTTCCAGTCAGACCCGACTCATAGCGACCTCTCCTTGGGTTTCTGAGGCATGATCACTACAGAAATAGATTGCCCCATCTTCCTTCCAAGGAGTGGCTGGTGGGTTTGAACCGCCAGCCTTCTGGTTAGCAGTCAAGTGCCTTAGGCACTACGCTACCAGAGCTCCCATTTAGGTAGATAGAAAATATCAATAAGTTTTCCAAAGTGGTTTGACGAATTGACGTTCTCACTAGCAGTGGATGTGAGTTCTGATTGCTCCATACCTTAAACAACACTGGAGGTTTAGAATCTTCTTGATTGTAGCCTTTGCGGTGAGCATGCGAGAATTATTCTTTCTTGTTTTATTGTCAACCTTCCTGACAACTAACGAAATTGAGCAACTTTTATACAGTTTTTTATCATTTAGATATTCTCTTTGGGGAAGTGTCTGTTTTAAAAGTTTGTATATTTATCTATTGAGTTGTCTTTTACTTCTTGAAAAGTAGAAGTTCTTTATATAAGTACATTCTTGGGCATAGTCATGGTATATATTTTCACTCAGTACATGGGTTGTTTTATCACTCTCAGTTTTACAACTTATGATATAAATAGAATTTATTAATTTTAAAATAGCAAATTTTTATTGTGTGATAAGGGTATTTTGGGTTCTGTTTAAGAAATATTTACCTACTCCCAAGACACAATGCTTTTCCTCTATAAGCATTATTATTTTCTTTTGTATTTACATCTTTAACACAATTGCAATTGACTTTTGTGTATGGTATGATAAAAGGGTCCAGATACATTTCTGAAATATGTATATCCAATTGGGCCAGCATCATTTTCTTAAAATACTGCCTTTTTCCTACTGTAGTGCTACACTCTCCCCCTTGTCATAAATCAGGTAACTGGAAATGTGTGATTCTATTTCTTAACTCTCTCTTCTGTTTGATTGTCTGTCTAAACTTGCACTAATACCACTCTTGGCATTTGTTAATTTTTGTCAAATGCTTTTCCTGTATCTATAGTGATTTGTTGTCTGTCATTGGGTCTATCTATTTTTCTGCTTACTTTTATCAACCTTCATATTTTTTAAAGATAATAAGAATATTTAGACTCATGATAGCTTCCTCATGGATTACTTATCTTAACATAAGAAACATCCCACTTCATCTCTAGCCTTGTTTCCAGTGAGGCTTTTATATAACTTTTATTTTTGCTTTATTTTTTAATTTAATTTTTAAATTTTATATTTATTATTTTATTTTTTATCATTTTATTTAATTTTATATTTTAATTTTATTTTTCTATTTTTTCTGTATTGAAAATATAAAATTATTGACATATGAAGAGGCAATCAAAAGAATATTCAACCAAAAAAATGTAAAAATTAAAGATCACATGGAGTTCTATCAGACAATTAATATGTATGTTTTGTCTTATTTATGGTGTTTATGATGTCTGTGGTATTTATCAATTTTTAAATTTTTGGTTTGTTATCATTTATTTCTTACATTAAGTAAATAATTACTTTTGAATCTAATTTTTTTTTTTCTCAGTCTGTGATCTTTTTGTTAAGAGACCTCTAAATTAAATATCAGGTCCTAAACACCTAGATCCTCCTTGAAAAATCGAGGAGTATTTAAAGTACATGTAACAATCAATGCAAACTTATACTATGAAATTTACAACATTTCAAATCCCCTTATAGCAGCTTTTTTTTGTTGTTGTACATAAGGTTGCCAAAGTCAGAGCTGACCACACAGCAACTCTGAGCTCTAATTTCTCAATATTCTTGTCAAGTGCTGTGGAGTTCATACAGGAGATAATAATACTTGCTTTCCCAGGATGGTCAGGAGATTGTAGGGGAAAAGTTAGGGAGGACATGACAAATGCCCCTCCACCAAAATTTTAAAGTATAAAAAACAATATACCATCACACACACACACACACACACATACACAAATCTTAAAGATTTTTCAGATATGCAAAAGCCAAAATTATTCATCATCACCAGATCCACATTACAGAAAATGCTAAAGGAAAAAATCAGACAAAAGAAAAGTGGTAACAGATGGTCTATGCATCTACATAAAGAAATTAAGAGAACTGAAAATGGAAATGATAGCTGCATAATTTGTTATATGTCAATATCCCAATCAAGTTATTTTGCTTTTGTTTTTAAAACGAGTTCTTCACACTCACTACCCACATTTCAAATACTCAATAGTACTATGGCTAGTAGCTATTACATTGAATAGCACAGATATAGAGAATTTTCATCATCATCTTGGTGGCACAAATGGTTAAGCACTCAGTTGGTAACTGAAAGGTTGATGGTTCAAATCCACCCAATGGCTCTACAGGAGACAGGCCTTGAGATCTGCTTCTGTAAACATTACAGCTAGGGAATCCCTATGGGGCAGTTCTACTCTGTCCTATAGGGTCATGGTGAGTGGAAATGGACTCTATGGCACCTAACAGCAATAACAACAGTTTGGCCTAAGTGATAAGGTGGTGCAAATTCAATAACCTTTAAACTCAGAAAGGAAGGGAGATAAAGGCAGAATTTTCCATAAGCTGATCCTGACATGTATGTAAAAGAAGAGTGAAACAGGGGGGCAGTTGAAGCAGGTTTCCAGGCTTCTGTTTTTTATCTAGCCAAACTAAGGGAAACTGGCACAATAGGTTTCTCTCTAGCCTCCCTCATGCCCCTTGCTTAGCCACTTTGTTAGTTTATTTACAGGGGGATACCAAGGACAGAGTGGTAACCAGCTCAAAGTTCTGACCCACAGAAATACACATTGAGAGAAAGGGAGTGAAGTTGCTCAGAACTAAAATGTCTCCTTCTGCCTATGCCCAAATCAGCTGATGACAGGAAATTGCTATAACTGATCCAGCACACAGGCACATTGCATTAAAAATTGACTGTCCCTTTTAAACCAAGGCAAATGAAACTTCAGCTAGTCCCCAGACAGTTCGTGCCCAAATTCCTGGAATTTATATGAATATGTATAACTTCCTCTTCCTGAAGCTCCATAAATGCTGTAACCTAACCCATACTCAAGGGGTCAGATTTGGGTGCATTTCCACTAGCTCCTACTAAGTTTTTACTAATATGCCAACTTTCTCTTTTATCAAAATCTAGTGTGCTCTGTTTCCTAGTCTTGTAACACACCAGACAGGGACCCACTTCTGTTCAGCTTCAGAAGGATAAGAAGTAACATCATAAGTTATCAGTGATGCAACTGGTAGGTATACCTGATAGGTAAATGAACCTAGTTTGTGCTTAATAATCAGAGTTATAAGTGGAATTTACATATGAAGATTCATTAATCTCTCATACAAGATGTGATTTTGTTTCTTCAGTTGTCGTGGAATTTTCTATCTGTACCCTTATTCAACCACTACCATTTTAATGGACAGTACCACTAGTAGGGGAGCTCTGGTAGCATAGTGGCTAAGACACTTGCCTGCTAACCAGACGGCTGGCGGTTCAAACCCACCAGCCACTCCTCAGAAGGAAGGTTGGGCAATCCTACTTCCGTAGTGATACTGCCTCGGAAACCCAAGGAGGGGTCGCTATGAGTCGGTTTTGACTGGATGGCACATAACAACAACAACACCACCACTAGTAGTGAATGATATGAAATAAAGTTCCAAAAACCAGGAGAATTGTGAAGAATCCATTTATTCTTTCTTTAATGAATTCAAAGAAGAAATTTCTCATTTTCTGTTAACAATTCCTAATTTGAGGTAAAATTTTGTTTCTTTTACTGTCTCTTTACTTAATGATCTCCTTTATCTCCTGATAAAAGAGTTAAACCAAGATACTCTG